TACACCTACCTGCTTTCCATCTGTGATTTCTTTTTCTGCTGCTTGCCTATTTCTTCGCTATTTTTTTTTTTTGCTTGGGTAGTTTTTATCCCTACTCACTCACGCGGTCGTGATAGTTAGTTAGATGGCCGGAATCTTTTCTCATACTTACTTCTACTAATACGTTCACTACACACGACATATTTACGATTCATACCTGCCAGTGCAATCTATTTGGCTTTACCTTGGTGGAACAGTGGAAGTGGTACCTTCTACAATTCATATTTTTGCTCTCTGGTCTATAACCTTTCTCTCGTCTTCTTGTCAGGCTAACTACGTTCGAATGTCGGCGTGAGAGGATGCTGAAGCTTTACCTCTCCATTCGAGTTTTCCATTTGTATGAGGTGTATAGGCGGCGTACATACGTCATACGACCTACATGAGAAGACCTCTGCTATTATTTGAATATACACGTATGTAGATAAGAATATCTCAAGAACGATCGAAGGCATATTGCGAATTGGGGGTGTCATGGTCCAGGGCGGTTTATGCGCCTTTCGGATGCTCAAAAGTGGCTTTAACCTAAAATTATAATGAGGACACCACAGAAACGTCAGATACCCGTGGAGACGTTGGCGCCACACCTTGCAAAAGAATTCGTCATCGGTAAGAACACGGTAGCCTGTCAAGGATAATCCTCTGACGACAGTCATGGTGGCGTTGTGGGCCTCGCGGGTTCTTGATGCCTTTGCAAATCCCGGTGTATGGTTGCCGCCGTTAGGCACAGTCGGGATGGCTGATAGACAGCCAAAGTGTGTAATCAGAAAGTTACTCACGCGGCGCATAGAAAGTTGCGAAATTACCAAAGGCAGGATGGAGGGCAGGGAAAGCTACCAAAGCAAATTCTATGTCATCTGTAGGAAAAAAAACCTGTGGATAAGGACGCACCATATGAAACGTTACCCTAGCGGAAAGAAGAACGTGAGCATATCCTACGAATATATGGAGTAAGAGGAAGAAAAATTACTAACGAAATCAGTGGATGCTGAGCTCCCATCTTGTAGGGTCAGCAAGCCATAGCGATTCCCGACGATGTCGGTGTAATATTGTGCTACAAAAGGGTGTTTTAATACACTCAGCAGCGTGTTTGAGGGTGAAAAAAGGGTTCAGCCTCACCTAAGGCAGAGTTCTGATGGAGGTCGAAATAGGCTACATCGAGTTTTACATCGATCTCGCATCCTGTTGCGATAGCTGCTGCTCTAAAAAAATTAAGGAAATATGAATAGAAGAACGATATTATCGTCTGCTCTGTAACCCACCGCAGACAATCCACGACGCGTTTTACAAGGACTTCCACCTCTTCAGATGTCGGTGCCCTGGCTATCCACCTCATCTTCGAATAATCCGGGATCACTGGAGAATACAATCATATTAGACATGAAAGACGATTTAAAAATGTAGACAAATCTACATACCATTCGGTAGCCAGTCCTTGCCTTCCACAATACCGTGAAGCCGATGGTCCGGTTTCATTTGCTGTCGCAGCATTGAGATACTGGAATATGCGAGGAATGCGGCATCTAGAGCATTTGTTCCCTCCCTGCATTCGATGGAATCAGCAATAAAGTTCGCCCGAAAGTAATGTCAGGATGTTTTTCATACCAAGGAGCATTTCCCGCATGCGCACTGAATCGAAAATGAGAGAAGCCCTTAGCCCAAAGTTGTCGAATCATACAGTCCAAAAATGCTTACCTATGACCAAAATATTGGACTGAAATGGCTTGCATGGCGTTTGTACTTCCTATGCTAGTTGAATGTGCAATGCCAACTGTAGGGTGGCACCTTCAGAAAACAGAATATTAGCTTGGATTCAATCCATGAGTTTAAATTGCAGCCATACATCATGCACGCATCCATTCCCTCATATCCTCCACGCTCAAGTAAGATGACCTTGCCTCCTCCTGATTCCTCGGCTAAGCAATGCAATCAGTAAGTGTTGAATTTAGGTGTCGAAACCAAGTCAAGTGCAGCGAGCAACTTACCTGGTGTCCCAAGCAGCACAATCTTGGCAGAAACTTCACGACGAGCCTGCAGTGCGGCTTTGAGCGCAATCGCCACACCCACTCCGCTTATAGCAATGAGGTTGTGCCCACAGGCATGGCCCAGTCCTTTGAGGGCATCCATTTCAGAATTTATGCCTATTACACGCCCGCCCGAGCCTTGAGAGTATTCTGCTCGCCACGCGGTTTGCAGGCCAAGGTAATGCTTGGTGACTTTGAAGCCTTGTTTAGCCATGAAATTAGTCAGAAGATCATGAGCAAAACTACAAAAATTGTTAAATGCGTTTAATTATATGATCGTCGAAAACAAATTGAAGTATACTTCACTTCTCCTCAAACATCGTCTCAGGATGATCTGACGATGTTCAACGGCATCAGGTGGTGTAAATCCTGCGAGTGCCAAGAAAATAATACCATGGATCCTTAGACTGAGCACACGAAGTTGGGCATCGTATTTATCCAAGGTATGATCAATGAGGTTTCCAATGTCATTGCGGGTGAGCTCGTTTGTGTCGTCGGCTTTCAGTGAATAAGATGGCAATGGTTCTTGTTCAAGAAGCCACCAATCTTTTTGCTTTCCAGAGGAATAGTCGCAGAATGGGCTGAAGTTTGATATACTCTACCAGTTCTCTCTCGTTAAAGACCTTAACTTCTCAAGAACGAATGCAGACCTTTTTCTCCCCAGCGCTCTTAGGATTCGCAGCGTTTTCGTAGGCAATAGTACGGGTCTGAGAATTTGCTGTAACTCGCGAAAAACTTTGCACGGAAGTCCCATTAGCTGTGGAACGCCTTTTGGCGAAGAAAGCGCCAAAACAACCGGCATTCAGGTCTGGGGAAGTCATAAGGGGGGAAGGAAGAGCAGACAGTGGGGAAGTTGGTCGTCAACAAACACCCGGACAAGATGCACCATTGAGCATACGATCATTTTAGGTGCATCTTAGTTTGCAGATCTGGGCTGTGAGATCCACGCTGGCGTTTGAATTTGATCCCTTGTCGTTGAAACGCAGAGGCATGTGTCCTCGCCCGATCTCAAAATCTCTGAGCATCTGGCCTCCGGTGAGTTCGGTTTCTCAGGTCACCTGTTCTCTCTTCTTTGAATTGGGTATTTTGATGAAGAAAACAAGCAAATGACTAACTTCACTCACAAATAATGTTGTTCATGTCTACTCTGCATACAGTACGTAGCAAAGATGCAGAAGTCAAGGGAGCACCACAGCAATCAGCATCACGATGATCACACATAATCGAAATACTATCTAAGGTATGACATAGTGTAATGACCACAATAACGTAAGGTCCGTGGCATAGACAGCACCACAACTAGGAGAGCTAGAACAGCAACTAGGGATAAATGTACATGGTCGAGAAGGTAGACATAATCAATGATACGCAGGCTTACGAGCCTTTCAACATCCCACCAAGTTTCTTCCAAAACCCAACCGGAGCGACATACTGATCTCGACCGCTCAACCCGACAACAATTTCCCCGTTGCGTGTAGAAATATCGCAGTAGGACGCCTCTCGTAAACCATCCAAAGAGTGATCATTGGCGTTTCCAATAATAAAGATGATTTCATGATCAGCAGCTTTGATTATCTTCATGCGACCCGCGAGAACAGGTAATACATTCAAGGCACCTTTTCTTGATGCGAGCTGAACCATGCCAACAAAGTCTTCGGGGATGAAAACAACGACAGTTCCTGTAACAGTGTAAGAATCTTTAAAAAGCGCATATCATAGAATTAGACCGACCTTGACGGGAGGAGACGGTAAGACCTAGACGTGGTTTTGATGGAGGGGTGGGAAGCTGATGATTTGTTTAGGGGTTAAGAAGTAGTTCAATAAAATGAGCATACCACGTTAACTTTGACAAATCCATCCCTACTGCCGACGACGACATTAGCTTTCCCAGCCTTGTGAACGTCTCCAGCAGTCCCAATATTTAAATCGATTGTGTTGGAACGAGTGCGAAATGAGGCATGGGGAATTGGTTCATCAGACCTCGTTTTCTGGCGGCGACTTGGATCGAGCATGGGTACCGTTGGATCGATGTAGAAAGTGCCTAGAGAGAAGCCCGTGAGTGTGTATGTTCGCATATGTAGAGCTAGAAAAAATACCTTCAATATTATGCTTTCGGTCAGTGATATGCACTTGATCTACACTCGCAGAGGGAGCGGCACTTGTGGATGCTTGTGCATCACAGCCGTGTTGTCTATCGGATTGGGCAGGGCGACGAGGTGGGGGAAGAAGAGACTGGTTTTGACGTAGGTGTCCACGGCCATGGTCGCGACTACGACGATCGCGGCGACTTCGTCGGTGCAAGCTGGGGCCGTGCGCTAGTCCCACATCTGAATCACTGCCCAAGTCACTGTAAGCAGGAGGGTTGTCCGTGGGCGCAGTCTTGTGGTCCATAGCGGCCGCTCTGTCTTTTTCAATCATCTGGGAGTACGAGAGAGAGGCTTGTGTGGATGATTCGACTATCATGGTGACTGCGGGTTTAAATCGTTTTCAGAGGAACAGAGTAGGGTAAGTTCTCCAGATGATAGCAGACTGCGGTTGTGTGTCAAATATGCAGCCTACTAACACGAGAGGGATGACTTGCAGACCTGTTGCGCAGCAATTGAGAAGCTCGGAAGTTTTACGGCTTTTGAGCAGAATATCGAAATGAGGACGGATTCAATTTCAAGAGGAAGGGCAGAAAGGACGGCAGATGGAGTGGTACCTCTCCAAGGGAAGTGAGTACGACTTCAACGCTCTGCGTCGTTTTAAGTTTATGAACGATTCGCCTGTTGCTGCGGACGCCAGTTGCATCAGGCGACTGCACTGGTAAGGATCAAGGGCCATAGCAGCATGATAGCGCAGACGAAAGCAGTGTTAGAAATTAGAATAGCTGTAATTCGCCAACTTCTGCAAGGCAGTGAAAGTTGGAAACTGATGGCCGAGCAGGATAAAAATAGGAAAGGGCCTAACCGGGAATTGAACCCGGGACCTCCTCGATTGTGTGCATACACCCTAACAAGGAATCATACTACTAGACCATCAGGCCATTGATACTTTAGCGAGTTGCTCAATTCTCGGGGCCATAATACCCCGAATTGTTCACCCAGAAAAACTCCCAGTCCGCCCTGCCCATATTTGGGGGTAACCGCCGGGGTAACCCAGACAGTGATCGACCCCACCATATACTCTATGTACTTAGGACTTTCTAATTCTAGGCTGTTTAGATTACAAGATTACATAATTCAAACCTACCCACGTGACCACTGGTGCTGCAGCCTGTGATGAGACCTGGTGAAGGAATCTACATTTGCACTATGTAGTAGAAAAAACTTTCTTAGCTTTCTCAAGTTATTGACAAGCAACAAAATAAATCAAATGACTTATAACAAGCCTAACTAGGAGTTGAACCCAGGACCTCTCGAGTTAAGCGCCGAAACACCCTAACAAGGAATCATACTACTAGACCATCAGGCCAATGAAAATAAGCGCCCGTCGCGTCGCTCTGGGTCCCGGATCACAAAGTGCTACTGCGATGTTCATTAAGATGGGCTATTTGACAGCCCTAGAGCTGTACGAAACTCAATGAATGCTCACTCCAATAATCAATTTATGGCAAAGAAACACAATTTAACATCGAAATTACGAATGCAACTACTTTTGTCTCCGAAAATGGCCTAAAACGGATGGAAATGAGATTACAAGGAAAAATAAGGGCCTAACCGGGAATTGAACCCGGGACCTCCTCGAGTTAAGCGCCGAAACACCCTAACAAGGAATCATACTACTAGACCATCAGGCCGGTGACATTAAGCGCTGAGCATACATCCATGGTGAAAATGGACCTTCAAAACAAGAGGGGACTTCTGCATATTGGACGTTTGTAGTAAGGTTCAAATATTTGAAGAGCAGATCAAGAGCAGATAATTAATGAACCCAGTTTGATTAACCTTCATGGCTGTGAAGTCACACTTGAACTGCATGCACCAAAAGGTGGCAGCGTAAAAAAGCGCACTACAGTTTACTGGAAGTTAAAAATCCAACTGCAACATTTCTTGACGAAGTAGGCGATGATAATATTAAATTGGACATTGTGGCCCATCGTGACAATGGCAAGTACGCGGCTAGTTTTGATTTCCTCGGGACAACTTCCAATACAAGGACAATATTGCTAAAAATGGAAAAATGGGCCTCATCGGGAATTGAACCCGAGACCTCTTCCAGATCAGGTGAACACCCAAAGGAAGAATCATGCTACTAGACCATAAGGCCGACATCAAATGAGGCTTCAAGAAGATATTAATGGACATGACAAAGTATTACTACAAAAGACTACTTGTGTTATATGCAAAACAAAGCTATCCTTTTTGTGCTACTATATTTTACCTCTGCGGCAGTTCTTCCAACCGCAACTCAAACGATAGGAAGAATGTATACTAATGACACTTATGTATCACCTTGCTGTAAAGCAATGGTCCCCCACGTTGGAAATTCACAAATAAGGAAAATAGTTTTGATACGTTGTCTCTGTTTTCCATTACCTCCATCAAAAGCTCGCACAAATAACTGGCGATTCAGAAAAGTCGCATTATTCGCCTTTTTTTACGGTCACGGGTAAATGTGACGGTAAATGGCGGGAAACGCCGCGGCCAAGGTTTGATGGCCAGGACGCGGCTTGCCCTCTGCCCACGCGGGTCCCTCTGTCGTCCCCGCCCCCGTCCACCTCGCCAAGGCCACCCGACTCCCCCGCAAAGCGACGCCCGAGGGCGCGAAAGGGTGCTCGCCGCTCCAGCGCTGGAGTCGCGAGGGCGGCGTGGCTGGGCCGGCTCGTCAACCGCGTTGGTGCGGTTGGCATCTTTCTTCTTCATTCGCCATCAGCACCACTACCACCACCGCACATGCGATGTCACTTGTATGCATAATGAGCCTGCATGTGCAGTGTTCTGCAAATGCAAGTCGACTGGTTGCGCAGGTGTCCATATCTCATGTATATAATTGTATTAGATTAAATGTAGATAGAATGTAAATGCTATATTTCTTAATGAATACTATCTGGTGCGCTTCAAGCCCAAGGTAACAAACCTCAATGAGCTCAACAACACTTGAGTGCATACCTTATGAGGTGCTCGGGGGCACGAGAGTTGATACGCGAGATTATTATAGGCACCGTATTTACCATATGCAGCGTCGATTATTGACACCGTATTTACCGTATTTACTGTATTTACTGTATTTACCGTAAACGTAAGTGCCCAAGCGACTTACGCTCACTTACGCACCCAAAATTGCACTTACGCTCATTTACTGATGTTTCTAATGGAATAAATAGCGTCAATACGATTCGTTAACTAGTGTACGCGCCTATAAATACTTTTCACTCCTGTCCCCTTGTCCCCTTCTCTTGAGCTTTTCTGCCACGGCGGGCTTATGAGCTTAAAATTATGCAGATGCAAGCAGAGGGCTTAGGCGCCCGTGATTCGTGAACGAAGTGCGCGCGCGGGCGCGGCGGAGTTTCATTCTCGCCATAGCGGCTGATAGGCTGATCGGGCCCAAAGAGGCCACGCCGATCCGATCGTGTCACGTGCACGTTCGCCACCGCGCGAGCGTGACGGTAAATATTTCGGAGTAAGTTGGTTGGCAATTGTTTGTTTGTATGTATATTGTTTTCTCAATTCCCGTAGGGAGGCTTGCTCCAAAGTAACAAATCTGTCGGCCTTTGTTTTGTCGACGCTTGGTACCGCAATATAATCCGCTCCCTCCAAATTTTTAAAATTGCGGAATTCATATGTCAATAACGGTCTCGGGGCTTTAAAAATTGCAAATAAGTTAATGCAAGACTGTCCAAAATCCATGCAAGTGGGTGTATGTGCCGATTTTTTGGATTCACGCATTCTGGGATTGGATCATGAACCCTCAGAGTGGTGAGCTGAACTTAAGTACTAGGGTGTTACTACTATAGAATTGGTGAAAAAAATTAGAGATGGA